AGACAGTGCCCTGAAGTGGGTGCAGGAGAACAGGCATTGTGATGAGTGCCAGCTGTGCATCCACAGAAGAGGTCAAGTGAAGCAAATCACTTCAACTGAACACCCCAGAACAGACGACAGCATGAGTTTTGAGAACCACAGCTTGCTATACGTGTGTTCAAACATGAAACTCTTGAGCTTTACTGTAGCAAAATGGTAGGGGCCAGTTTGGACCAAAGCTCTCTGTACACAATAAATGAGCAGCTTTGCTGCAGGCTGCTGTTTATCTGGGTTTTGATGACATAAGGCAGTAAATGATATATTTTTTTTGACCTTACAAAAACTTCATATCTAATACAACAACAAAAAAGGCCCTTCTGTTTGAGGCACACTGGAGTACTTTACAAACACTAACTGCGTAGTAGTTTATGGCACTGTTTGTATAAGTAATATGGAACCGAGCAGTTGTGTCTTCACTGCTAATGAAATAACTGAATTGTGCAAGTTCTTCTTGACTAAAAATCGAACTCAAGCATACCTATCTTTGCAGATCAGCATCTCCTGGATCCAATTTACTTTATCCAGTAATAAAAGAATACAGTGCAGATAGCACGCCAGCCCTTGCATTTTGCTAACGGACCATATTTAAAAGTCTTTCCTCATCTACTGAGAAAAAGCTTAAATGGACAGAAAAAGGCTGTCAGCAAAAGCCGCAGAGGGGGGCAGACTTCACTCCTTTTTATATTCTTCCTCCAAAGTTTAGGCTTGAAAACTGCACAAAATACAGGGCTTGTTTCTACGTTCCCCTGAAGGTGGTTGCCCTGCAAAGAGGAATGATGAAACACCTCAGAGCTAGCATGAAAGGCAGGCACACATGAACACTGTGACAGCTGCCAACAATCTGTGGCTTAGTTCACAGAAGGACGTGAATATCCATGCTTTTGAGTGCAAAATTACAGCACTGGACTAACAGGGGATATTTAACAGCACCATAATATACCAGAGGTAATAATAAGAAAAGCAAGGAGCCATATGAACAATTAATTAACCAATTATTCTGCCCCCACCCTAAAATGGACTCTCTTTCTCAGTGGAAGTGATACTAGCCAAACACATATCAGCAAAGATACTCCAGTCTCATTTTTGCTTTACTTACTAAATCCTTGGCATTCAGAGACACGTCATCCCACCAGGGGGAAACAAAGTCGTATTCACAGTTCAGGATTCTCTTAAACATGTACTGATCTCCCCTTTCATCATAAAATGGTTCAAAGCCACAAAGCCTGCAAGGATAAAAAAGCAAGAAATTTATCAACGATTAATTAGTCCTAGGCTGTTTTCCTGGTATTATCTTTCCCTACTTTGTGTTCTGTACTCCACTTTGGGAAACCAGACCTGGATGTACTTACGAACTCCTAATTCTACCGAGCAGAGCAAAATGTGGTCATATGCATTCATAAGCACTGGGAAAGGCTGATCAAATTGTAAATCTTCCATTTTCACATGTCTGTAATTGGAACTATGAATATAGGGACTGTTCATAAGAGTAGCCATGCAACAGTTGATATCTGTTTACCTTCTACATGCCATTATTTTCTAGCAGCTTTTCGGTCTGCTGGTCTCAGGCTGAAATCACTTGGACTATTTAGTCATTCCTCAGTCTGAAACTTTGCTCATCCCTCCTCTCTTCTGTGAGTCTTCTCCAGTTGTGTGTCTTTTTGAAGTGGGTGCAAACACCATTCAGCGTGGGCACACCATGGAGTTGCAAACTAGCATAATGATGTTTTCTATTTTAAGCTCCATTTCTTTCTAACAATTCTTGACCTTGGATCTGCTTTTTTGGATTGTTTACAAGCACAGAGTTAACATGTTCATAGAGGAATTATCAGAATCTTTCCTGAGGGATAGCAATTAGCTGAGGAACCTAACTTTACCTGTGAAGTTAGAAGTTTTTATATGTCTAGTTAGGACTGTTTTTTGATTATATTCATTGCTGTACATTCTCTCATCATCGACAAAATGTAAAAACCTTTGGCAGGTTTTAATAATCAGCCCTCATCTTTACTTAGGTGACATACGTATTATCAAGAAATTTTGTAATCTCACCAATGACTTCATTTATGAATATATTGAATAATATAGATCCCAACACCAATCCATGTTGCTGGCCCTGGGTAAAGCAAATTCATGGAACTGGTTTCCATTTATATAATGTCCTTTTTTTGTCACTTCATTGTACTTTAATCATGCCTGCACACATAATCAGATGTTTTAAAGTGAACTTCCTATTCAACCAGTATGTGTTCTGAGCTAAACAGAAAGTCTATCTGCTACTCTGCCTCCAGACAATGTAACAAGCAATGAGATAACAGGAAAAGAACAGCAGACCATAAAGAACAAGACAGGAACAAATCTAGAAAATTTAACCTTACATTTTAACTTGGTTTTGTAGTTTTATACCTGATCAGTGCTTACTGCCCAGAGAAAGGAGATAGATGTTCAACTAAGAAATGTGTTTTTGACAGTGGTGTGTAGCCGTGGGTGAAACAGTTGCATCACTTTGCAGTGCTGAAGAGGAGACAACCTCCACTGTAAGTACATTCTGGTTGTGTTATTAATTTCCAAGTCTGGCAGAGATGGGTTAAAACACAAGGATCCAACCTCCAAATACCATGTGCTTCAGTATGTTGGAGCTGGTCATGGTCCCTCTGCTGCTCCCCTCCCATTTGCCTGCCTCTCCCACCACCATTTCTGAGCTTGCTTCCGGTCGGCTCCTGTCCCCATGGAGCACCTTTGCTGGACAGGGTTGTTGGGCCACTAACTAGTTCAGCCAAAACTGGCTTCTGAATACCAGGTAACTGATGACATAGAGTGAGACCATGCTTAAGGCTTGCTGTGACTGTGTTGGAAGCCTTCTAAGTGATTCTCCATTTACTCCTACAAATATTTTCATCATAACTCACTACTACCACCTATTGTTGTCTTATTAACAATTTCTATGGATATGCTTCCACCTAAAAAAAAATTCATTTCAGCAGACAGATTAGATGAATAAACTAGAGGTGTGATTTCAAATTAGACAAATTAAACCTGGGTAAGACCCAGCATGGCTGCTTTTGATTTCATTTAAACCAGGATTATGCTGATTCATTTTAAATCAATTACTCACCAAATAAAGAAAAATCAATGCAAACACCTTCAAAATCAGTTAGAAATGACTAGACAGTGTTTTGTGCCCTTTTAAGTAAGTTAGTAAAAAACCACCTTTAATTAAATCCATGCAATTTTGACTACAGGCAAAACCTTGTACCTGTTGATCACTATCTGCATCTCAAATGTGCCATAGCATTTCTAACCTGCTGCAGGAACACAAAAGGGCTGGTCTTCTTTGCTGTTAAAACTATAAATGTGGCTTCCTCGGAATTATGACAGTTATCATCAATAGGTCTTAATATAGTTTGCCTCAGGAACAACGGTTTGGTCAAAATACATGTCAAAGTTTTTCTTAATCACATGGTAAGTCCACTTGGTATTGGTGAGACGATACAGTTTTATGCATGGTAGTTAACTCTTAAATCCACTCTATTTTGGAGGCATATACAACAATGTATTTTTTTGACTGTACATAAGTGCATTCCCTCTACTAAACTGTGAGACTGAGACATGCAACACTGTCCTTTAGGCTGCAGAATTAATCAATTACAGTTACTGTACATGTACCTTTCTGGTCTCAGCTTCTAACCCATCAGAAATGTTGACCTACAAAGCTTTACACTCAATACAAGAGTTTTAAATATGGAGTATTACTAAAGCTAAATGGAAGAGATGGCCAAGCGGATTCAACTAGAACCCTTTCTGCCTGGCTTTCTCCTGTAGGTCAAATTGGATTTCGAGAGGGGAGGAGGAGAGGAACAGAAGGAGAAAGAAGTAGAGGAATATCTGTACTGGTGGTGTCCCACCCAGAGCAGGAGCTCACAAGCTTGTGTTTATACAAGTCCAGAGGTTTAACGTGGCTTGGGAGCATCTCCTGAACAGCTGAAAGGTTTTGAAGGGCTGCGTATAGCGAACACCACTCCATATATTTGAATAGGAATTTGCTGTATGTTCTTGCTTGGAGCTTGCCTACACTTGAAAGCAAGTTCTGCTTAAGGAAGGCTCCCAGTTTCAAGTACAACAGCTATCCCTCAGTCATTGAATAACTAGTCAAGCCCATGGCTTAATCTAGATATCTTTGTCAATGGACAATAAAAGGCACCTCTTCAATTGCAGAGACAGCCCTGCTGGCAAATCTCTCTGCCATGCATGGACCACTAGAACTGACAAGAAATGACCACCTGGCAGGTAATATCTGAGATGTGATCTACAGACTTGAACCAGGCCTCAAGACAAAGATTCACATTTTAAAAGGAGCAGATAACAAAATAGCAAATAGGAATATTGTAGCCTATTATTTACAGGCACCCAAAAGGAGAGCTGTGATTTACTTGAAGCTTATGTACACAACAAAAGATGTTTTCTGGCATTTCCATCAGAGTGTTTATACATCCTTACAAGTACTTTTAGTATAAACACTAGAAAATATAATACTTTTTTTGCGAAAGACATAAAGAAGACAATTGTCTTACTACACACTGTACTTGCTGGACACAGTTAATGAGTCCTAAAAGGGGAAAGAAAATGGCCCGGATGTATAAAATCCTCCATGTCTTTAATGTATATGTGTAAAGTCCCATTTTCTTCCCATAAAAGGCATCCTGCAAGTATCATATACAACTACACAAGCCAGCTTAGCATTGGTGTTGCCAAGGTAATAAATGAAGTTAGTTATTCTCCCATAAAGAGAAGTGTCAATATATCAGATACAATTTTCCCTTCTCAATAACCTTCCTTTGAAAGATTCCATTGATACAATAAGATAATTACAATACTTACCAACTGAATTAGGACTAG